CACTTTCTAGGCCTCCTTAAGATAATTTTTGCTTTGCATTTTTTTTCTATTATTTTCACATTTGGCTACTTTCAAAAAGAAAAAATGAAAAATGTCAAATATGATGGCGTGCCTTACCTCAAGAAATAACATCGTTGTAGGCACCTCTGTCCTAGAGGCAAACTATCTATGGATGTTGCAACACAGATTCTCCACACAGAGCTGACAACTCATTTGAAAGGAGTTCAACACTGTTAACAAGACTGGGGGTTGGGCCAGGGGGTTCATGGGTATTGCTTTATAATCAGAAGACTCATTGTGGTGCCAGAAATTCATGAAAAAGGAAGGAAAGTTCCATTTGAACCACAGCTACTTGGGATCTCATTTGCATTCTTAAGCCGGTGCTGTGGTGCTATAAATAGAAGAGCCTATACATAGAGATGGGTTATTTCTGCCAATAGTGATTTTATTTTTTAGAAGCATCTAGAGACATTATTCATAAGGACTCATTTCTGTTCACTTTCCTGCCGAGAATTTCCCTCTCTTGACACTGTGGGTGGTCAACTTTGAAATCTGCTAATGATCCATTAGATACAAAGAATGCAGGAAGAGATATTTATTTTTTTAAGTTAATACATGCAGGAGTCCTTTTAGTTGTAGAAAATTTTCAGGCATCTGGCTGTTATGTAAATAGGGGCATCCTTTTCAAGCCAGCATCTTTTGATTTTTTTAATCAGCTAAATTTTCTAAAGATAATTTTTAATACCCGTAGAAACTTAACTACAGTCATTTGATATGCTAACCATATTGTGACTTGTAATTGAGTATGCTATAATAGTTACAGTGCCAAAATATACAGATGTTTGCTTACACTTAGATAGGTAGTATTTTTTTAACTAAGCTTTAAAATGACTGAGTGAATGTTTTCCTACTTCGTGTTGTTGTTAATTGTAATATACATGCATATATATGCATATAATATACATACATAATATACATACATAAAGTAGACCCTATATGGCACTAGTAAAATAAAAACCCTCTAATCATTGTACTTCAGTGGATAAATATTGTATTTTCAGATATATGTTAGTCAAAAGCTAAAATGTAGCCCCAAAAGAGAAAATTACAATGTCCTGGCATCCTGCTAAAGACCCAGTAGTAACTAATGCCCATCAAGCTTTTACTTTGGTGAGAAAATTTGTCTCAAGGGAGCTGACTTTTGCAGGAAGTAAGCTATGCAGGATCACATGATGACATTTTTAAAACACAGAATCACGGGCATCACTCTACATCTCCTAAATCAAAATCTCAGAGGCAAGGGCAGCACAGGAATCTGCATTTTAAAAGCCATGGGGAGATTCACTGGTAACATTCTGTGATGCCAGTCCACAGAGCAGCTTTTAGAAGCTATTGACATTTGAATCCACATGTTACAGAGCTAAGGCCTTAAAATCCTTGCTCACTGCCTAAATTCCCTTTTCACATACCTGTGCTGTGTTTTACAAAGATTAGTTCGTGCACTTATGCTATCTTCCCAAACAAGAGCAGAGCGAGTCTTATTTATTCCATGGTACCTGGCTCTTTCCATGACATAGGTGCCCAGCAAATATTGGTTGACAGGAATTGGGATTACATTTGGTGTTATGGTTTACAGGTAAGAGCTTCACTCAGAGGAAGACTTGCAAAAACAGTTTTCTATGTAGTTCACAGGTCTGTGAAGGGTAAGATTTTTAGAACTTTTTCAAATTAAAAAAGTGTATTACATGTAAATATATTCTCCCATATCTAATTATACAGGGTCCAATAAGTTCACAGGAAGTTACAACATTTAAAGTAAATGGGGTCAAGGAGGGTGACATTGTTTTAATTACTGGTTCCAAACATGGAAGGTTACCTGAGGTCCTTCAGGCTTAGGGCACTTACTTTCTTGGTCAGCGTTGCCAATTGCTTCAGGGTGTGGCGAGGTATCCTTTGAGTTAAGTTAACAGCAAACACATTTGACTTGCTAGTTTTTGAAGAAGTTGGGATTTAGTAATGGGATCTTTGGCAAGATCTGACTAGGAGAAGCCTTTGGGTCCAGGTGTAATGCAGCTGGTAGCAAAAATAGATTTTATTAAAACTATTGGTGAAATATCTGGCACTCCAGGAACTGTTTTGGAACTTGAAGGTACAATTTGAAGTGAAATGTATGGAGGCATCATCATCTCAGTTGGTTAAAGCTAACTCTTTCTAATGAAGTGCTGATGGAATACCAAGATGGACAAGAGGGCTCTGGACACTTGCTCATGGTTAGCGAGATAAGGTGGTCTTCCCCTTCTGCAGAGCGTTTTCTATAGAATTTCCATTTCTCTCTCTGCTCTGTCTGCCTGCTGATGTACAGATGCACGCAGTTAGTCATCTCCACGTGAATTTATAACAACCAACTTCTTCCAACACCTGATGAAAGCAAAAAGGAAATGAGTCTTGATTGATCAATAGGACATGATTAAAATTAGTGCTTTCCTCGGTTTTTAACAGAAAAGTGTCTTTCCGCATTTCAAATCTGGTTAGGTCTATATGATTAAAGCACTTATGTCAATCAATATTTAGATTCGTTTGACTTCATATATGTGGCCTTCTCCTTTACTATAAAAAGACTAATTTGGTTTTTCCAGAATGCAGCTTTCAAGAGTTTTACACTCCAAGACTTTATCCCAGAATACAGATGCTTTATACTAAGCTTTCAATTCCAGGTTAGGTGAGTGGAGGTGAAATTATATGAGATTTATCCATGGCCCCCAAAAACGTTAAGTTCCTAACTAACACTTTAAGTCACACCAGAAGGTGTGACTTTCCCCAGTGCTTTCACTGTACCTTCCAGGTTGTCTGGCTATGCTTTTATCACTATTCTCGGGTGAGAAGGAGGAGCATTGGCTCAAGGGTCCTCAAAATTTTGTTTTGTAATACAGCCCCAAAATAGAAGAGTTTTTTAGGGTACTTTATAACCATCTTAGTGGCATTGATCCTTAATTTTGGACCATTTCTGAAAACCTGAGATTCTGTATTTGTCCACTCTATGTAAAATACTATGCAAGTTGCCATGAAAGTTATTGTGAAAAATAAGCACACTAACCCAATCAAAGGAGGGACACAGAGACTTGGAGCACAGTGAAGGGAGGCTTTAATCAACGTTCTTGCCAGAGCAGGTGTCTGATGGACAGGCATACTTGAGGCAGTTACAGCAGGCAATTTATCTCCAAGCATGCAAGTCCCTCCCCTGATTCCTCATTGGCTGAGTCCTACAGAGATTACAGCCTTACCCTGAAGTTGCCTATGCCCATGTAAGGCAAAAAGTAGTCTGATTGGAACAAATGTACATTCCCTGAATTGCCACAGAGACTTCAGTTTTTTGGCCCATGGTCATTACAAAGCCCATGAAATGGAGAGGAGGAAGAAGAACCAGGAAGTGAAGTGTCTCAGGTTTTGGGACTCCATTGTGGGGGGAAGGAGGTCGCACATATTTCCAATAGGTTCTAAACCTATTGTTAACTAGACAGCCCAGCTTGTATTTGGTATTTCTGAAAATGAGTCATCTCACTTATTTCTCATAGTTATAAAATGAGTAAATTATTCGTCACCCGTGTTTGGCCCCTTAAGAGTTGAGAGAGCCTCTGAGGGTCTCAAGACCTCGCCTGCCAAAGCTAGATTTACCTGTTATCTGATACATAAGTTCTTTCCACCGTGTTTTATCCCATTTCCCCAGTCCCTTACATTGGCACTACCAGGCATCAGCTCTCTATTCTCAGCCAGGCTCTCCCTTCTGAATGGGCAGGTGCCACAAGCAGCTACATGGCAACCTCAACAGTAAAAGCCAGTCAGCTGTTTTGGCCCTGTGTTCACCCTGCACTCAATTGGTAGCATTGACGCCAAGAGTGGGAGTCTGCCTTCCGCGTCAGCATAGACTGGGAATAGGGGAGGAGTGAATCTGCATAGGCAAGCTGGGGCTACCTTTACTGTTGATGTTTTTTTAATGTTTATCTTTGAGAAACAGACACAGAGCACGAGCAGGGGAGAGGCAGAGAGACAGGTAGACACAGAATCTGAAGCAGGCTCCAGGGTCTGAGCTGTCAGCACCAAGCCTGCATCTCAAACCCACGAACCTTGATATCATGACCTAAGCCGAAGTCTGAGGCTCAACTGACTGAACCACCCAGGCACCCCGAGCTACCTTTACTTTAAAAGGGGGAAAAAGGGGCACCTGGGTGGCTCAGTTGGTTAAGCATCCAACTCTTGATTTTGGCTCAAGTCATGATCTCTAAGAGCACAAAGCCTTCTTGGGATCCTCTCTTTCCCTCTCTCTCTGGCCTTCTCCCAACCTCTCTCAAAAACAAAGGTTGGCAGGTGGAGGAAATAGATGCAGGGAAGGCAGAAGCACCAGATTCCTGGTCACCATCCCCTCTGGAGAAGGCATGCAGGTGGATGAGCACAGTTTTCAGCTCTGGTTTCACAGGCACCCTAGCCTGGGGCCTTGGGAGTTGTTTAGTCATTATGCTCCCCACTGTGCCTTTCTTTGTGAGCTACCTCAAGGGTGGCTGTTGGAGGACTTCTCCTCAGTGGAGGAAGCTTATCACCAGCTTGAAATTCTCCTCAGGTTGCATCTAAGACATTTTCTTCTAATAGACATTTGAAGCACTTTACTAAGGCAGCGCCACACATATTTAATGAAGTCCTAAAAAGGCACCTAGTGCGCAGTAAAAGGTGAGGTAAATCAAAAATAAAAATAGATGGCTTAAAATAGAATTCTTGGCCTCAGGCAAACTATAAAGCTGCTAATCTGCTTTCAATGCGAAGTGCACAGCTACAAATACTTCACAGTTGAAAAACACTGAGAAAGGAAGACAAGGTGCAGCTTTTATTTTATGTGTGTGTGTGCGCGCACGCGCGCATGCGTGCGTCCGAATGAATGCACGCGCGAATCCACCTGTGTGTAAAGGATCATTGTTTTCTGATTGGTTTTATAATTCCTTTTCCCTTTTCAGTGACAGTGAAAACTGGTTTTGTGAGTGTCCAAGGCTGTACTCAGGCAGGATGTGCCAGTTTGCAACCTGTGAAAACAGTCCATGTGGAAACGGTGCCACCTGTGTTCCTAAATCCAGGATAGATTCCCTCTGCCTCTGCCCTTATGGGAGGTCTGGGCTCCTCTGCACGGAAGGTAAGAGTATTTGATTATTAAGCATTGAGCATCGCAAAAGGAGATGAGGAGCATAGAAGTCACTCACAGAAATCAAGGACAGCACCTGACTGATCAAATATGTCTAATCATTTCCTTGGTTCTTTCCAAGTCAATCGAGACAAGACCTGTTAATGAGACTAATCCCTGAGCATGTATTTCTCACAGCCATCGTGTAATTACAAAGGAGGTAATGAGTTTACCCTGAGGTTAGACTATGGAAAATCTCTGTAGTATAAAATCTCAAAGTCATTCTAATGCTCAGAGTAACAAGGAAAATCAGATGCAATACATGAAATCAAAATATTTGATGTCATTTTGGAAAACTGAGGCAACAATATTAACAGATCTCTGTATTGTAGACCAGTCATTTTTTGTTTAAAGACAATAAACCCCGTGATACAGTTATTATATAGCAAGAAACAAAATCACAAATAATATCCATGTGGCTCTCCTTCAGAAAATCCTAAATTACAAAAAGGTACAAGATGCTATAAGATTGTTTTAGGAAGCAGCTTGCCAAAGAATGTAATGTTAGCTTTGACATACAGAAATAAATATCAATTTAAATCTTTCTAGAAATAATTAAAAGTATTTGGTATTAATATTTTATCAACTCAGGGTAGGAATTGTTTCATCTTTATTTTGCCCACAAAAATTTTTAAAAACAAAGTCTACCCCTTTGGTGCTAGTGGTATCTGTTACCAAATTCTGGAGTAAGTCTACCAAAATGAGCACAGGTCCCTATGCCCCAGGTATACAACAAAACAAACAGATCTTACCTGCTCCGACTCATCAAAAAGTTGGAGCACCACACCCTGATATAACAGGTGTGAAAATTGAAATGACTGAAAAAAGAATTCATAACTAAAAAGTATTGAAAGCAGGAAATTGAGACAACGGATTTTTATGTAGCTGGGAGAAGGGGAGTTAAGAAGTACTGAGTTTCATTCTCTATGTGGAAGGTTATATTAGAAGTTAGCCAAGTCATTTTGTAATAAGAAAAGGTATCATAGACTGGATGGAATTGAAATTTTGTCCTTTCCAATAAAAACCTCATGCTTCTTAGATAGAACCATTCTATCAAGCTATTGAAAAATACAGTTGGTCACAAAAATTTTTATTACTAAAGGGTGAATCATCAGTTTTGCTTCCTAGTTGAAAATCAGACTTACCACATGAAATAAGAAGTGAAGATTTATAAGAACGTCTTCACATATTTACCAAAAAAAATTGTTTTCTCCTATCTTTTGGTCTCATTAGGGCTCAGAGATGCAGCAACTTATATATTATTGAGACAAGAAATATTAGACAAAATTTGTTAGACTCTCTGTTTCATTGTAGGTAAGAAGGAATTCCTACATGCACCCATCCAGAGGAATTTCTCAAAACAGTTAGCCTATCCATTAATATATTCCACAAATGTGCCAGAGTAATTTGAGATTCCTACCCTCATGGAGCTTTTCTTCTAATTGAGAAGATTAAAAGAAAATAAAAATGGCTCAAGACACAATATAAAGTGTATGAAAAGATTTATGAAGGAAATAAACAAGGAGCATAGAGAGTAAGCAGGGTGTGGGGAGCGAGGGTACTGTTCCAGACAGGTGCTCATGATAAGAGCGACTCCAAAAAGGGAGAGACTGTGCTAAAGCCTATAGAATGCAGAGTATGACCTATGAAAACCAGGAAAACAACTATTAGAGCAAAAGTTTCAGAAAAATGGAAGACCCTTAAGAGAGATAGAACCTACCTTTTTTGAAGAATGAAAATGTGCTAGTCTAGCAGAGCATATGGAGCAAGAGAGAAAAGCATATCTGACGTGAGCAGAGCCTACATCATGTAGGGTCTCAGGCACATGGGAAGGTTTATTGGCTTTTAATTCTCAGTGCCTTAAGAAGCCACTGGAAGATTTTATTTTATTTTTAATTTTTATTTATTTCTGAGAGACAGAGACAGAGCATGAGCGGGGGAGGGGCAGAAAGAGAGGGAGACAGAATTTGAAGCAGGCTCCAGGGTCTGAGCTGTCAGCACAGAGCATGATGCGGGGCTCGAACGCACAAAAACTGTGGGATCATGACCTGAGCTGAAGTTGGACATTTAACCAACTGAGCCACTCAGGTGCCCCGCCACTGGAAGATTTTAAAGAGGCAAGTGGTGTATATGTATTTGTTAAAACAATTCTGACTGCAGTATATTGATTTTAAAAGGCTTTTGTCAGTGACCCTGATGAGAGATCATTTTGCCTATGACCAGGATGATGGTGGTGGAGATGGAAATAAGTGGATGAATTTGAGATCTATTCTGGAGACAGAACTGATAGAACTTGCAGGGAAGTGTTTGAGAAGTGCTGAATCAAGAACATCTAGATTTCTCTATTTGTTTGGACTATGGGTAGATTATAGTGCCATGAGGAGGACTGAGGGCATAACAGGGGTTTTATAGGGCATTATTGGGACATAAACAAGAGTTTTATTGGGTACAGATGAAGGAAGAGATACCTGTTAGATATCAAAATGGAGAAGACATGTAGGCAATCAGATAAATGATCCTCAGGCTCAGGGGAAAGAAAGGTCATGACTAAAGATACAATTTGGAGAGTCATCAAAATAGAGGGAGTGGTCAACACCATAGAACCAGAAATTGTCTGAGGAAAAGGTATAGACAAAGAGAAGAAGAGGGCTGAGGACCAACCCCCTCCAAGATTCCAATATTTCGGGATCTAGTAAAGGAGAGAAACCCATGTGAAGTACCAGTACCATCCCCCGAACAAGCATTCCCCCCTGCCCCATCGTCTTTCAGCCCATAAATATCACTCCTCTTGTGATGTTGCATTGTATTAGCCTAAGTTCCCCCATCAAAGCAGAACCTGGATAAAGAATTACATTCAAGTAGTTTATTTTGGAAATGATCTCAAGAAACAGGAGTGTAATAAAGACTTGGAATAAAACAGGACAGGGGAGACAGTACAGAGGTGTCTTATGGAATTGAGTCAGGGACAGCTATTATTGATTCTCCTGGGACCTTATGAGGAACTATCTAAAATGAGTCTCAAAATTGTCTGCTCTTATGAGGAAATATATAGAATGAGTCTGAGAATTGCCTGCCCCAAGGGACAAAAGAGAGAAGCATTTAACCATTGACTCGTGGTTCCTTTTGATTGAGGATTGCTCTACAGGACCTTAATTTTCCCACACTTCTCCATTGCCATAGAAAACTGGCAAGTGTGCAAGCTCTTGCAGGCATCTCAGGCAGGCCAAAGCACCAGAGAAGCTGGGGATCAAGGAAGGAGTGCTTAACATATCAACATTCCCTAAACAATCACGAAAATGCCCACTCAAAGTGTCAGCTCCCTCCAGGAATCATCTTTGCATCCAGCAGGCATCAAGGCTTTCTTTACTCCCCCAACTAGCATGAGGTAGTGCCCCATATCATTTCTTAGACCATTCACTGGTCAGTCTCATGTCCAGGAGATTTCTCTAGAACATGCTGAATCTGTATCTATTCAATAGAGAAAAGCATAGAACTAACTGATAAGCATAGTTGTTGCCCAGTTGCAAGTACACGTGAGAAAAGGCACAGAATAATATCCAAAACTCCCTTTTTATCTTTGCCTTTGTGTTAATACCAGAGGATAAAAAATCAGCTAGTTTTATCAGCAGTTGTCTTTGCTACATAGCACTTTTCTTTTAGATTATAGCCATATCTACCATACTAATATATTCTTTGGGGGATAATAGAAAATATAATTATGACGTTTCCTACCTTGTTGATGTTTCCACTGGGGAATTCATTCCGAGGCAATCATGGCCGTGGTGATGGGAGCCAAAATAAACAAACACTGCAAATGGAAAATTCGCAGCTGCCTTCCTTTGTAAAGTGCTTTACTCTCCATATTTGTGCTTCTCATTCACACTTCCTGTTGCCTCTTTCTATGCAGGAATAATCTCTTCTTGTTTTCTTAACCACATCATTTTAAAGGCAGGGGGGCAGGGGGACACTTTATCTTATGTCTTGCCCTCTCTGTCTTTTCTAAAAATATGGCTTAATTTACCTTATCTTCCCCACCTACAGCTCTCAGTGGAACGTGGCTTTTGAAGAAAGCAGTGTAACATGCAGATTAAGAGCCTAGGCCCTGGAATCAGTGTGACTAGGTTAAAATCCCCATTCTACTACTGACTAGACTATGGTATGATCTTGGGCAAGTCACCTGATCTCTCTGTATTTTACCTTCAAGGGGTCTAATAATAGAACCTAAATTACAGAGTTCATGAGAATTAAAGGAGATAATTCATGTAAATTGCTTAACACATCACTGGACATATAGAAAATACTTTTTATAAGAGAGTTCAAACCAGGCTTCTGATACTCACAGAGAAATGCCGTATCTTGTCATTATGGGAAAGAAGGCTGGATTTCCATCCTCCCTAGAAAGAAAACTCTATAGAATGTCAAAAGAAATCAAAATTAATTTCCTTTCAAGAATTTTTCTAAGTTGGTGACACTCTTCATGGTGATTAGAGACAAGCCAGGGGTATTACAAAGTCAGGTAGGAAAGCAGCGCTCCAGGGATACAGATAATCACCAGGCTATTTAAGGACATGATACCTCTATAAAGCAGCTTAATGTCAGGCTGGCATTTTGTAATGGCATATTTCAAGTACATGTAATTTTGTCATGTAAGCTCGTAACTCTTTTGATAGCATCCACTCTGATATGATCCAGCTTTTTCTCTCCGACTCAACAGCTGTTTGATTACCCTGCTGTTCAACCCATCTCAATATCCCTCATTTCTCTCCATGTTTAAATTCTATATTTTCCAGCTCCTGGTTACAAAGAAATGTTAAGAGATCAAGCCCAACCCCATAGGGGAACAAGGAGACAGGGGTGATTGTGGCCACACAAGAAAGCACTCAGGAAAGTAATTCCTCTTGCTTAGGGTTGAAGGCAACCTTTGAGCGTCCTGCATTTTTTCTTCCTTAAGA